TCTTGGCCTAAAAGTGACGTGAGAGAACTTTTTGAACAGAACCTAAACTTCTCCTTTTCCCTTATCTTCATATGGGGATTGTACAAATGTCCCATACACCTGCTATTAGACAAAACACAAAAGTGTATGAAGTATTTTTGTTCTAGATAACATAAATAGATTATTGAATAGTTTGCACTAAAAATCACCTGACAAATATGCATGTATGCAATATTTTTGGTCGTATCCAAGGTAGTTATGTCCTCATCAGGGGGCGTGCGGCCTGCCCTGGCTGCCTCTCTCTCTCTCCACTAAAGCCCATTAGGGCCCATATACTCCCCGGGGGGTTCCGGTAACCCCCCGGTACTCTGGTATATGCCCGAACTCACTCGGGACCTTTCCGATGTCCAAACATAGGCTTCCAATATATCGATCTTTATGTATCGACCATTTCGAGACTCCTCGCCATGCCCGTGATCACATCCGGGACTCCGAACAACCTTCGGCTCATCAAAACACATAAACTCATAATACCAATCGTCACTGAGCGTTAAGCGTGCGGACCCTACGGGTTTGAGAACTATGTATACATGAATGAGACACGTCTCCGGTCAATAACCAATAGGGGAACCTGGATGTTCATATTGGCTCCCACATATTCTACGAAGATCTTTATCGGTCAAAGCGCATAATGATATACGTTGTTCCCTTTGTCATCGGTATGTTACTTGCCTGAGATTCGATCTTCAGTATCTCAATACCTAGTTCAATCTCGTTATCGGCAAGTCTCTTTACTCGTTCCGTAATGCATCATCCCATAACTAACTCATTAGTGACATTGCTTGCAAGGCTTATATTGATGTGCATTACCGAGAGGGCCCAGAGATACCTCTCCGATAATCGGAGTGACAAATCCTAATCTCGATCTATGCCAACTCAACAAACACCATCAGAGACACCTGTAGAGCACCTTTATAATCATCCAGTTACGTTGTGACATTTGGTAGCACACAAAGTGTTCCTCCGGTATTTGGGAGTTGCATGATCTCATAGTCATAGAAACATGTATAAGTTATGGAGAAAGCAATAGCAACAAACTAAACAATCATCATGCTAAGCTAACGGAATGAGTCAAGTCAATCACATTATTCTCTAATGATGTGATCTCGTTAATCAAGTGACAACTCATGTCTATGGCTAGGAAACTTAACCATCTTTGATTCAACAAGCTAGTTAAGTAGAGGCATACTAGTGACACTCTGTTTGTCTATGTATTCACACATGTACTAAGTTTCCGGTTAATACAATTCTAGCATGAATAATAAACATTTATCATGATATAAGAAAATATAAATAACTATTTTATTATTGCCTCCAGGGCATATTTCCTTCAGAAGATATATCTGATCTTACTAACTAAATCGCGGTGGAGAGGAAGAAAAAGCTGATGATGATCCGACGATTCTCGCAGCTAGGTTATACCTCCCTGCCATGAGAATTATTCAACTGATTGAGGGTCAAAGTGGACGACCCCTCTGCAGTATCCACGTGTTCCAAGTTAGCGATCCCGCAACACTTTGTCATCCAAAACAAAATCAGACAAAATAAAACTAGATGAAGAAGAGCCTAGCGGCGATCCATCTAGTTCTCAACTAGATGGAGAAGAGATGGGCTTGGTGGCTATGCGCGAGAGGGGTGCCTCCAAGGGGACTTATGTGTCACTAGCTGACTTATGGAAAGGCAACCCCCTCCTGGTTCGAACAACCTAGGGGGAGGAGGAGTCCTCATAAGTTTCCACCCCCCCCCCCACCTTGGCCCAATGCGGCTTCCCGCCCGAGCCTAATAGGATGGCACCACTAATGAGCCTTTAGGGCCCATGTGGTTGTCTTCGCTGCCGTCGATAGAGAGGTTGTGCCCGTCCCTTCCGTCACCGGCGGAGCGGCCGCTGCCATCGGACTCCATGGGTGGGAGTGAGTGCGGGTGGCAAGGAGGAAGCGGCTGAGGAGCAATTTGTGTGTGTGGGGGGGGGGGGCTACCGGTTAGAGCATGCACAATGGTGCTATCTTAGAGTGCCACATAAGATAAATGTTGAGGAGGGGGAGAGAGAAATCATAGGAAAAGTGTTGTCTTTGCTTATTTAAAAGATGATCTCTTAACATAATATGTCTCACTATATTTTTAGAAATTACTAGTTATTAAACACAAGGGTAAGAGATAACCCATTGTAGACGTCCTTCTATTATCATATCTAAATTACATGCAAAACTTAAGATAACACTATTTTATTAACCACTGTACATGTTCTTAGTGTTTTGCTATCGTCGTTTCATAGCGTGTGACGAGCGTCATCTTCATCAAGGCAACGCGACACCTGATAGTGGGACCCAACGTTCTATTTTTTTCTCAAACGTCTGCAATCGACCTATCAATCGTTTTTGGCAAACTGCCAGCACAATTATGATGAGTTTTGCAAAAAAAAATGTAACATGGTGTTTTTTATTTTATTCAGCGTTCACAAATATGATGATTTTGTGCACTTTACTCGTAGGGAGATTACTCGTAGGGAGAGAAGGGGATTGGCGGATTGGGGTGGAAGGAAGGGGTCCGTGGGGGCCTACCAAGCAAGGCCGAGAGCAACGTCCTAACGCAACGTCCCCAACAACCTCGGCTTCGCTCTCCCACTCCCGCCCCGCCCCGCCCCGCACACGTTCCATCCAACACGTCGCCGCCGTCGCCATGGCCACCATGTCCCGCTCCGGCTACGGCTCCGACGACGAAGACTCCACGCCGGCGATGCGCCGCCTCCGCCGCCTCTCCCTCCACCTCCTACAGCCCTCCGATCGGCCCGCCCCCGAGGGGGCTAATGCCCTGGCCCCCGCCGCGTGCGCGGGGAAGCGGCGGGCGGGGGGCCTGGACGTGGACGCGGCAGCCCTCACCGCCTACCTGCGGGGGCGGCACCTGGCGACGCAGGAGCGGTTATACAGGTTCTTCGTCGAGCGGCCGGAGCTCCACACGCCCGTCGAGCTGCCCATGGCCGCCCACCGCGAGCTCTGCTTCCGGCAGATGACGGCGCTCGTTCGCGAGGCCGGGGTGCGGCCGCTCAGCCTCATGGCAGACGACCCCGACGAGTACTTCGCCGTCATGGAGGCCGTCGGCGGGCTCGACATCTCCCTCGCCGTCAAGTTCGGCGTACAGTACAGGTTGGTTCGCTTTGCTTTTTTCACCGCGCGTGGCAGTTAATTTACTGGCAATTGAGTGATCCCCTCACAAATAAACTGGTAAAGAACACAACTCGATCCTGAATTTCTCCCATATGTTCCATATACATATTGGGATTGTTAGTTGGTGGTTAACCAGAGGGTTCCATCTGAAAAAAAAGGTTAACCAGAGGGCTTACATAATTGCTTGATGTCACGAGGCGAACTGCGAACTACATGTATGGATCAGTTGGTAATTTGACTGTCGGTATCAGTAACTAAATCGTTTTGTTTTACTCTTTTGAATGTGAATAACACAAATCATACTGATCTTTACCATACTGATTATCCCATTCACGAGGATTCTAACTTGGAGCATGGTGAATGTGATTTATGAGTGTGGGCTTGGATCTGTTGATAACTTAATGCCCCAACCTACTTCATGGATCTGTTGATAGCTTAACTGCAACCTACTTCATGTACGGTGGGTTGCAATTGCACTCCTTTTGGGGGCAGGCACTTATGAGTGTGACAAGGACTCTGAAAACAGAGCTTCAGTACGAGTGCACATGGGTTCATATTTTGTGGTGGCTTGATAGTAGATGATAGCTTTTTGCTGCCGTAGCATCGGCCTAATTAATTGTTGTGGCGAAACAAGAAGCATTATTTCTTGATTAAGATGATTGGTTTGTTACAACTTTGGTTATGGTTAGTTTTTTTTGAACCGAAAGGGGTTGCCCCCCTGCCCCAACTTTTTATTGAAAAAGCAAAGGCAACCAACGGACAGAGTTTACAGCTCTCGGCTCCAGCCAGAAGTAGCCACAGCAGAATTATTACAGATTCAAACATCAAACAGTTTTAAAAATCCACTAGAGAACTACGGAATGGCCCCTACAGGAACTACAAGCACCGAGGCACTGAACTCCCTACAGGCGCATCATCATGCCAGGCAATTCTAAGCAACTCCCCGCGATGATGGTTAGTTCATGAGCCATTTGATTGCCTACAGGGATGATTGCTTGCACAGTTTATTATTGTGAAATGTCAAGCATTTCATGTACCCATTTTTTGTAGTCGTGACGATTCTGTTTCGAGTATTGGGATTATTTAGGGTATACATGCATCTGGAGTTCGGTTGGTGGTTCATTTCATACAACCTCAAACACTGCACCTTTATCATTCTGGAATTCATGCAAATGCCCTCAGCGGTATGTCGGATTATTTTCTTTGACGATCTTAGCAGGACAATAACACATCATTTGACATTTGTAATTATTATTTACTGGTTTTACGTCCTACCTTTTCCTTGTGTACCTGTTGTTATAAATCGACTAACTTGCCTGCTTGTCAACGCAGTCTTTGGGGTGGTTCTATAATAAATTTGGGAACCAAGAAGCACAGGGAAAAGTACTTTGACAAAATCGATAATTTGGATTATCCAGGCTGTTTTGCTATGACAGAACTGCATCATGGTTAGATTATCTATTCAATTATTCCATCAGTATTGCTGATTTCTTGTTTGGTACTTTGATTGATTTGCAATTTAACTGTCTATTGGGACTTTTCCAACACCTAGAACACTGTTTACAATTGTTTGAAAAGATTCCCTTCATTTATGTTTGTTGCTTTTTGACAGGATCCAATGTTCAAGCCCTACAGACCACTGCTACATTTGATTCAGTTACTGATGAGTTCATTATTGATACACCAAACAATGGAGCCATTAAGTGGTGGATTGGCAACTCAGCTCTTCATGGAAAATTCGCTACTGTTTTTGCGAGGTTAATTTTACCGCTTCAAGGAAAAGGAGGGGAACCTGCTGACATGGGAATTCATGCATTTATTGTCCCAATTCGGGACCTTGAAACCCATGCTGTTCTTCCTGGAATTGAGATCAATGATTGTGGGCACAAGATAGGCCTAAATGGTGTAGATAATGGTGCCCTGAGATTCCGTTCCGTTAGGATACCCCGTGACAATCTTCTGAACCGATTCGGTGATGTGGCGCGAGATGGAAAATACACAAGCAGTCTCCCCACAATTAATAAAAGATTTGCAGCAACCCTTGGTGAGCTTGTCGGGGGACGAGTTAGTCTTGCATATAGTTCTGTGGGAATACTCAAAGTTGCAGTAACCATTGCTGTTAGATATGCTTTACTGCGTCAACAATTTGGTCCACCTAAGCAGCCTGAAATCAGTGTGCTGGATTACCAATCTCACCAGCACAAACTAATGCCTATGTTGGCATCAGCATATGCATTTCATTTTGCCAGGCAGTATTTGGTAGATAAGTACTCGGAAATGAAGAAAACCAATGACGAGGATATTAGCGCTGATGTCCATGTACTTTCATCTGGGTTGAAGTCCTACATAACTTCATACACAGCAAAATCTATTAGCATATGCCGAGAATCTTGTGGTGGCCATGGGTATGCTGCTGTAAATCGTTTTGGTGGTCTGCGGAATGACCATGATATATTTCAAACATTTGAAGGAGACAATACAGTTCTGCTGCAGCAGGTACCAATCGGAATCCTTTACAAAGCTTATTTTTGCAATATTTGGTGGGTATGTTCACTGATAGTTGAAAGGCTAGTACTCCCTCTGTAAAGAAATATAAGATCATTTAGATCACTACTTTAGTGACCTAAACGATCTTATATTTCTTTAGAGAGGGAGTATATACTAAGAACTCACACTTGATTACATATTGGGGGTAGAAGTTTGGGTGAGTAATTTCATGTGATATGAAGTTACTTATACCTCAAATATTGTACTGTACCTCTTATCACAATGCTATTGTAGGTTGCTGGCGATCTCCTGAAGCAATATCAGCAAAAATTTAAGGGAGGAACACTCTCAGTCACCTGGAACTACTTGAGAGACTCCATGAGCACCTACTTGTCTCAGCCTAACCCCGTTACTGCTCGGTGGGAAGGGGAAGACCATCTAAGGGATCCTAAATTTCAGCTGGATGCATTCAGAGTGAGTCTTATCTTCATAATAATATCAGTAGCAATTGGATAGAAGTCCTGCACTGATTGCATAAACCCTCTTCTCAGTACCGAACATCTAGACTACTGCATAGTGTTGCTGCTCGACTCCAGAAGCACATGAAGACACTTGGAGGTTTTGGTGCATGGAACAGATGTTTAAACCATCTGCTCACGCTCGCGGAATCACACGTTGAGGCTGTCATCCTCGCAAGGTTTATAGAAGCAGTGAAGAGGTATAGTTTTGTGTCCTCAGTTACATTGTTCTTACCATCATTGCTTACTAGCTAGCTTGACACATTAGTTTTGCTAGTAAGATTTTGTTGAATACTTACAATGAAGATTTGGTTGGTTGAGATCAGCGAAAGCATTGAAAAACCCTCCTGTCTCCCTGACTCCAATTTACCACCCGTCGATCATGAATTCATGATTATTTGTGCTTGGGTTGTAGAATTATCCCTTGAAAAGTCCTCCTGTCGCCCTTTGTATAGTATAGTTCTCTTGCAACTTCTGGTACCGAGGACTACTTTTTGTGTTTGAGCCCTTATCCTCATTCTGTTGTTTAGCTGAACCACGAACGGAAATTAAGGTGAACTATCAAAGCCTACTCTCACCATTGAGATGTTGTGTTCGTAACCCTTTTGACTTTATCCAGTGAGGTTAATGCGACAAAAATGACTTTTGGTGTGTCTATGCAGCTGCCCTGATGCAAAAACACGTGAAGTACTGAAGCTGGTGTGCGACCTTTATGCGCTCGATAGGATCTGGAAAGACATCGGGACATATCGGAATGTAGACTATGTCGCGCCAAACAAAGCCAAGGTTTGTATATGCTTGTCATCAACCCCATAGTACAAAATTGCAATGTCAGTACTTGGCTTGAGACCAGAACCAGGACCTGATGCTACTATGCTCCCCTGTATGCTTGCAGGCTATCCACAAACTGGTAGACTACCTCAGTTACCAAGTGAGGCTTGTTGCTCGAGAACTCGTCGACGCCTTTGATCTTCCAGATGAAGTCATCCGTGCGCCAATCGGCATGCAATCGGAGGCCTACGCTCAGTATACGCAGTGTGTCGGCTTCTAGACAAACAAACAAACAACATAGGCCTACCATATTCTACTGCAAGCCCAGACCGTTAGTCAAGAAGTTATATATAAACAGACTTCTATTACCTCTGTCCCAAAAAGCTTGTCTTAGATTTATCTAGATATGGATATATCTAACACTAAAACATGTCTAGATAAATCCGTATCTTGACAAATCTAAGACAAGCTTTTTGGGACGGAGGGAGTGTCATATATCCAACATAGTAAATCGAGTGTATAATAAGATAAGTAATAGACATGAGATGTGTATAAGTGATAATATTGTGAACAATTTTTGTCAGCTGTGTTTTGGCAGCAACTCTTTGAATAAAGCTCGTTGCACGTGAGAAATTCTGTAGCTACAATGTCTGATCAATAATCTGTCTTCAGTCACGTGACAAACATGATGATGTGGCTAATCGGTTGGTTGAGAACATCATCAGGGATCGAACTATCTATCCTCACGGCATTATGCTGAACTATAAGAGTACATTTTGCCGTGGCTGAAAAGAGACCGCATGATTCCTGATGAATTACCTTTTATGCCACTGTGAAAAGGCTTTGATGTGATCAGGGAAATGCCAGGGATGAATAAGGAAGCTGAAATGCCTAGCACTGAAGCATAATTGCAGCAATAATACTTGGTCATACATATGTATTGTACTCTGAAAACTGATGAACTATAGCCCAGATCATGTGAAACTGGAGCTATTTACAGATCACTAATACATCCAGCCTCCAGTTTTCTTGTTCGACGGGACAGATAAATCATAAAGAACTTTTGAGAACTAGAGTACAAAAGAGACAAACTTATAATAATGTTACAAAAGACAGGAACATATCACTTCATCTTTTCAGTCTGAATCCGAATTGGAAGATCTAACCCTCCTATTCTTTGACATGTCAGTCTCATCAGAGTGATCTAATTGAGCATATATGGGCATTTCATATGACAACTAAAATACGTGTCCAAATAAGTTGAATTCAAATTTGAACTATTTCATTCAAAACTTTTTGTTTGGATTGTAATATTTATCTATCTTTCAATTTTTGAAGAATTGTGCTATTTATCTTCAATTATTTTCAATACCCCGGGCATATGAAAAAAGACTGAGCGGGAGACATTTGATTCCTACGGTTGGATGGCCGGCGCCCCACCTGCTGTCTGTGGACATTTGGTGCCGTCCGTTTGGTGATCCGCGGTGGAGTTGCCCTAAACTCACCGTACCTCTTTGGCGCTTGCAAGAAAGACATCATATATAAACCATGTCGCTAAGCATTATTCCTCGTGTGGAAGGCATGTAAAAGGACAGAGAACAAGGCATTGTCTTCACAAAGAGTTCGTGAGAGTCAATGCTCTAGATTCGACATTAATGTATGCAGAGAGAACTTAAAAACATGGTGTAGTAATACCCGAACATTTTAAATTACACAGTTAACAGGAAAAGGTTAATGGAATGCCAGAAATCAAACTTGAGAAAGTTTGAGTTTGGACAAAATGAATAGGACCTACATTTTGAGATGCAGGGAGTAATCCCCCAAAAACTTAAAATATATAGTTAATGGAAAAGGTTAAGAGAATGCAAAAAATTGAACTTTTTCTTAAAAAGAAAGACGTGGCTGGGACAATATACCAAGTCTCACAAGTTTAGAACACTTGTCGATCAGTCAATTGCACCAATAACGAATCGCAATCACCAAAAATCTTGTCGGGAAAATCACAGTCATGCACCAGGAAGCCGGATAATAATGATCATATTACAAAGGCCACAATTGCCATGCCGGCATGCTGCTGGTGATGGGGGAGCATTTGTAACACCAAAATGCTGCAAGTTCAGTCAGGGCGCTAACCTCCAACTACAAATGAGTATGGTGGCATTCTACCCATCAACTAAAAGTTGCTTTACCCAGCCATCGTGGAGGTCTCAGCGATGGCTTGATTCCAAGCTTGGTCAGGAAGATTGTGTAAATTATATGCAGTATGAAGACAAAGAATCCACAATTAAGTAGAAGCTGCAAAAGACAGGGAAGTTACTTTCTGAACTGGCTCATGCTATAAGTTTGATTTGGTAGGTTAAAAATCACCGAATTACCAGTGTCCCAAAGATTACATATATTGCATCCATGGATGGAATTGTGTTCACACCAGCCGCTGCCAGAATATACGTTAAGGAGGCATGTACACTAACGGTTATCTGAAATGATTAGTAGTTCATGAATCAAATTGAAGAATATTTCTCAACTGAAGAATCACTGAATAGACATACCAATTGAAGAATATTTTCTCGTATCAGGAATGATGACACTAACACATATCCACAAGCTCCCACCGCACGGATCTGCAAAGCAAAGTTCAGCTGAAATTCAATTTGAGGACTAAAAATAAGGGTAGCACAAATGTCAGCTGGAAGTGGTCCGTCATGCACGGCAACGCGCCTTAGACAGGGCAGCGTGCCACCGGTATGCCAGCTATGTACCGGGTGGTATGAGAGGAGGGGGTGTGGGTGGGGTGGGATGCTAAGCTTTGAAAAGTGGGGGCCAGTGGGGCGGTGTAGCATGTGTTGGGCTGTTGCCTATATTAGCCCGTTCTTTATGCAGAAACGACTAAGTCTGAATTGAGGAATAAAGCTCTAAATTCTCCTCACACTCCCCACTTGTTCTCATTCTGCTTCTTCCTCAAGTCAGGCGAACAAAGAGAGAGACCTCACATCGGCAATCACATCGGAAAGGGGTTGTTACATGATCACTGGGTGAAATTCTGATATGGATCTATTTTAAGTCAATCTAGATCTTAGTATCTACTCCCTCCGTCCCATAATGTGAGACATTTTTGCAAGCTAGCTTGCAAAAACGTCTCACATTATGGGACGGAGGGAGTATTTCTTACTGAATGATCTTGAATTTTGTTATTAGCAAAACAGGCTGCTTATTTATTTCTACCCAATGATTCTGAATTCAGATATTATGTGGGTCTATGAACTACCCCTATTCTCCTCACGGACATCATGTAAAGTTAAGAAGAAACACCAACTGGCAATGCGTTGCTAGCCAGAAGAGATATCAACTGCAGTTTGCTACTTCATATGTTAAGAATAACATAAGCATGCTTGATACTGGTTATAATTTGCTTGGTAATTTTGTGATAAGGACTATCACAAATGTAACCTATTGTGCAAACAAAGAAAATTCTTCTAAAGGATATCTAACAGGTGTACAAGAAAGAACACAGAGATTTGCAACTATTAAAATCATGAACTAGACAATCTGATTCGTATTTTCAAATAGAAACTACATAGTTATGTCAAACATTAGGAAAATATCAATGGTCTAACTCTATGTAGAATCTTTCACAAGGTAATGTTGTCGAGTTCCGATCCAAAGCTATGAGACTCTGTAATCCATATGTCATCAGCAATACATCTATAGATATGAAATACCAATTGAGAGAAGATACTTACAATTGAGCAGATTATGATGGAAGCAATCCAATCGGTCTCCAACCTGATGACAGAGGATGGGAAAAATGTTACGTTACTCGAAGTCAATAAAAATCGAGTGGAAGCTACAGCTGCATATATGCATCTCTGATGCAAAGCTATCATTAACTTTTAATGACATATATGCCAACAGTGAAAGCGAAAGCTTCACCTTTTCTCACCTCCACATAGTACCCATGGCTAGACCAACTACACCATGCATAAGCTGCAGGAAAACAAGCCCAAGAAATGTATAAGTGTCCAGAGTCATAACGAATGAACGAAGGGTTCTTTTAATCTTTCAAGTCCCAAAGAAGACACAGAACTAAAATTGAACAATATATACGGAGAAGCTAAGGGAAAGAAAAAGGTAAATTACCAACAACACCAAAACTTAAGTACAAAAATTAAAAAAGGAATACTGTTGTTTGATGATTAATGAATGTTAACCGTTACTGTTGCAGCTTGCCATCTCTACTTATAGAAATTTTTTCACTCGGAATTTGATTTCTTGGGTGCTAAGATACACTGATTTTTTTGTTCCAGGATATGGAGCTATTGTTCGTTTTAATGACAATGAATGATGTTGAAGCCCCGGATTCAACACTCAATTGCAGCACCAACATCGGTTAGTTTCAAGGTAAATATGTGAGTTGCCAACTTTAAATGTTCCGAACCAAACACATGCCATTGGCACAGCTATGATATGAACCATATGCCACAAAAGAGATGCTTACCAGATAAGTCGATGCTTTGACAGGGCCTGACAATGTGAAGAGCAGTAAAACAGTAGCCACCTGATGAGGCAATGCCATCAACTAAACTAAAGTACATGAAAGCTATATAATACCAAGTGAAGCATTTGACCAGACTCACCATGGTTTTCCTGCCAGCTTCTAACCCCCACCTCAAGGAGGAGATGACTATCGGCAATGGGAAAAAACAGCTGAAGTAATTCTGCATCAGCAAAAGAAGACAGCAGCTTCATGCATCAACAGTCGAATGAATGAATTTATAGAAAGACAAATGAAACAGAGCAGCATTGCACATCGGAGTGAGAGAAGGGTGCGGACCTCGATGGCGAGGGAGTTGCTGAGGAAGTAGGCGAGGCCAGCAACGGATGCGAACATGGCGCACTCGACGAGCTGCCGTGTCTTGGTGAGTGCATTGTCCAGGCCCGCGTCCTCCTTGTCCTCATCCACGCCCCGTTGCTCCTCTCCGGAGGCGGCTCGGCGGACGGCGGCCTGGAGCGGAGGGGTTCGGGTTCGGAGCGCGGTGACGGTGGATGGGAAGGGGAGCTCTGGGAGCGGAGAAGCGGCCAGCCGGCGGGGGAGGGCGGGGTGGGATGCCGGCGGAGACGCCCGAGAGAAGTGTGGGCAAGGACGGAGGCGAAGGCGAAGCATAATAAGAATCAGGCGGAGGCGGAGGCGGCGAGGTGCCCGGAAACTGGCCGGCGGGGAGGCGGCAGGCGAGTGGGGGCGAGGCGGAGGCGGCGGCTGCGATTCAGTTGAGATAAGGATCGGACGGTGCCGATTAAGTCTCGCGGTGATAAGAGGAAACCGCCGTAGCCGGTCCGGCCTGAACACAAAAACGAAATGCCACTGCTGCAGCTGCCGACCGCGTGTGGCGCCGCTGCGGCGTCGGCGTCGGCGCCGGGCCCCTTCTTGCTCTCACGGCCGCCGCCCTCGCGGCTGCGCGCGTCGCACGTCCTCTTCGCCTTCCCTCGCCTGAGGAAATACGGCCGCCGGAGCCGCGAGCCGGTACCCACCACCCTCGACGACGACGACGAGGAGGAGGCGGATGAGGACGACGACGACGACATGGAGGAGGCGGTTGACGAGGACATCTTCCTCAAGAACCGGCCCAAGCCGGCCGGTTTCGGCGTGGGGAAGACCTACACCACCGACGTCGAAGAGCAGCTTCTCCGGGAGATGGGCATCGGCGGCGCCGGGCGCAAGAGCAAATCGGCTCCGCCCAAGAGCAGCAAAACCAACGGCTCGGCCACAGAAACCGCCGCAGGTTAGCTTCCTCTGCCTTCTCATCAGCTATTCAGCCCACTGCGTTGCGGCATTTGTTGCTTCAGCATAAAACTGGTACTGCAATGTTCTACAGGAATATTAGTAAATTATACATCACGTCAAAAGTCAAATCGCTAAAGATCGTTTCACCCCATGGGCAACTTCCCATTTGAAATCATGAAGGAAAAAAATCTTATGTATGGTAGTTACTACTCCCTCCGCTCACAAATACTAGAAGATATTTCAAAATGGACTACATACAGAAATGAAACGAGGGAACGAACACACAAAAATGTGTCTCTATAGATCCGATTCAGGAAAAAGTTAGAAAATCTTATACTACCTCTGAACGAACTGCAAAAAAAAAAAACCGTCTTATCTTTAGTTACAAAGGTAGTATCAACTGCAAAAATGATCTATCTTATACCAATAATGGTCGATGTTATTCAATTTGAACTGCAAAAACGTCTTATATTTAGTTATAGAGGTAGTATTTGTGAAAGGAGAGAGTAGTTACTTACAAGGGCTAAAAATGCAGTCAAGTAGTTAAATAAAATGTGAGGGAAATTCTCAGATTGTTGAGAAATGCTCAATTCTTACAAGCAGCAAGCTGGTAATTCTCAGATTTTCGGTTGCTCCGTCGTTCCGTTCTAACACTGACCATTACTGGTGTCTTACGACGTTACGTCATATACACATGATCTCTCTTTACTCACTAAGTCCAACTTCGAAGGCCAGTGACAAAAACCAATGTTCAGGATATCTGGTACCATACCGGTCGGGTGCTGAGTAGGGATTAATCGGCGAATCAACCATTTAACTGAATTTATCGGTAACCAATTTATAGGGAGGTTAACTAGGGTCAAATCTATATATCCTAGGCTATATAACAACATGCAATGTACTAAGTGTCTAAATATGGAATCCTGGGCTATAAACAACATGCAATGTACTAAGTGTCTAAATATGCAATCCTGGGTTACATAGCAACAAGGAAAACTGTTGCCTTAATGTTCTGATGATGTTGCAGCCGATCTGGAAGGCCATAAACCTGCACATCGAAAAGTAGGGAGGGAGCAGGCCAGTTTTGGGCTAAAAAATGCCTAGCAGTTAATTGGCCCAGCCAATAATTCGGCCTGACAGCTGATAAATCGGCTTGTCAGACAAATTAACTGGACCTACCAGTTAAAATGGCTCAAAATAGCGCTTCTCGTATCGGGAGGGGTCTGAATAGCAGCTAACTGACCGATATTGGAACAGTTAACTGACCGATATTTGGAACAGTGACAAAAACATGTTCAGAAACTACCTCATGGAATTTCAGCAGCCTCAAAGTGAATGTCGATATGATGCAATTTATGTTTTGCTCTCAATGTAATTTATCTACTCGCCTTAAGTGCCTGTTCGGGAGTACTCCAACTGCCAGCTTCTCCAACTCTACCGTTGGAGTTTGGCCGAATGGTCTAACTCCATGGAGTTGGGATGGAGGAGCTGGCTGCCCGCTACGTGTATTTTCGAAGGAGTTGAAAAGCTACTCATTTATTTCTCTTAAAATTGGAGAAGCTAGAGTTGAGGAAAACTACGCTCAGATTGCCACCTTAGTAGATAAATCAGCTTTGCATTTTGGAAACCTTTTGAAATTATTGGCACTTCATTTTGTGATTTAGCAGTTGTGGAAGGTTTTGGAGAAATTCTTGTTGAACATAAGCCGGATCTTATTGATGAATTTCCTGTACGTTGTCACAGATTGCAGTAATGATGGCGTTCATGTTCGTATTTGGAACCTCCCGAAAAAGAAGAACATACATAAGGACCTGAACCTAGCTTTCAAAGGGTTTCCTGGCCTGGTAACTATAAACCCAGCAAACTCTGGAACTAAGAAGACCCGTGATCCTATTTGTAAGGGTTTTGCATTTGTCAAACTGGAGTCAGTGGACGCTGCGACGAGGTAATTTATTTTCTTCACTCTTTTGACATTCTTGTACAATTATTTGTTTCTTCACAAATTCCTTTTTGATATCCATCAAAATTCCATGTGTAATTACTTTATTGCTTGGTACTTATAGAATCCAAAAAACAATGCTGTTAGCTCATTGTTGAATCTCCCCAGTACAGTGTTTAGAAAACACCTAAACCATGTGCCCTCCCATCTCATCAATGAAGAAAGGTTTGCTGATGTTGCTCACTGTTAGCTGAATCTGCTGTCATCCAACATTGCTGAAATAACTGAACTACAGCACTACCTTGGACATTCTTGTTCATCTTCTCCATGTCCTTGCTCCTGGAATGCATCAATTTCACTCTTCTTCTGCCAGCAGGCACAACGACATGATATATGTACTTGAAAGTACCATGCCGATTTTCTGTGCAATTTCGCTCAGCCTCTTTCTTTGTACCATTTGGTTTCGAATTATTCAAAACATGTCATACTTTGTGTCTGCAGGTTTGTTGAACTGTACTCTCGTAAAGCTGTGTCGTTCGGCAAGGTTGAGAAGCCAATCAAGTGCTGTATTGTTGAAGGGCACATCTCTACGGATCCTTCAGGTCCAGCATCCAGCAGTCAGCCACCAGGGTCGAACCCACAACGGTTGGTAGCCGTAAGATGAGCAGCACAGTTGATCTGTCATCAATCCAGTTGCCACTCGGTACTTCAACAGACGGAGAATTCCGGGAAGAAGGTTCGCTACATAGATATCGGCATGCTTCGCTCAAGATTGCGAAGACACGGACCGTTTGGTCGGAATTCCCGATTTTGTAGATGATATCAAGCATTGACATTAGCAGGAAACCCTTTCTCCAATGGGTTTATTTAGAAGATAGGCAGGGATTAGACTCAGGTATGCAGTGGTTTTTTTTAGTTAAATTCACGTGAATGTATTGTGTCTAAATTAGGTCCACTGTTTCGGAGAAGGATTTGAATCTAAATCCGCGGCGTCGTTATAAATCCCCAGATTAAAGTTGCTTCAAAGTTGATTGCGATACGTGGTCCGGATGATAAAGGGGTGATGTTTGTGGGCTAAACCTTGAGCTGTTTTATCAATCAATGTGTGTTACTGAAAACTACCCAAGTAGAGCATGGCAAATGTGCGTGCTACCTAAATTGTTGGTGTTCTCTGAAGGAACAACTTAGCAAGCGCACCAAGGCACTGCATGCGTCTACATTACCGCATTCTTCTCTACCAAGGAGGCACGCACATACATAATTGAAGGAATACTCAGAAAACAAAAATAGTAATTAAATAAAGAGTCAAAAAAATGAAAATATTTTAAATAAACTTGACCTTTCATTGTACTTGTTAAAAAATCAACAAAAGAAAAACCCCGTTGACTTTAGGGAAAAAACACTTTTTTGGCCAAAAAAAGTGTGAAGAATGACCTGTATATAGCAATAAAAAAATTCCCTGAGTCAATGATGGTTTTAATTCGCAGATAATTATGTACTAGTGCAAAAGAAAGTCAAGTTTATAACCCCCCCCCCCCACACACACACACACAAAAA